AAAACGTTACAAATATAAGAGGTTTAACTCTCATTCAGACCAATGGAAAGGCTCTCCTCTCACTGATTACTGCACATCACCATGGCAACTTGAACTCTGGGCTCACAGGTGTTATGGTTATTTGCTATGATTAGGTGCTCAGCACAGAAACAAACACTGACAAACAGAATGGACTTTAACAGACTGTCTCAGCCTATTCTTTTCTGTCTGATGGAGACTTCATACTGACTTCAACATGTTCTTCATATTTTATACATTATTGGTGACATGTGGTTTTAGTCGAAAAGTTTGCAGTTAAAATATTCTGCTGCTTTTCAAAGTGTTTTTACTTTCTTTTCTCTTCTTAATACAAATTCATTCACTACTACTTACATTTTATATCTAACTCCTTCAGGCTACTTTCAGCTACAGAAACCATTCAACTATTACATTATTCAGCTATTTCAGGACATTGAGGCTATACATTTAGTTGTTGATACCTTTTTTAAACATTTTTTTTTAAATATTAAGCTTCTTCACTATTTTTCCTACTCTTCCAATTTAACATTTCACTTTCAAGTTTTCAACAAAGTCATTGCAATGCATTTGAGCTGTAACCATTTTGATTCAAATCATTTCACTTTACTGCATTTTTCCGCTAAGTTCAGCAACACACTTGCTTGGTTTTTGTAGCTAAAAGCAGGTACCATTCAGCTAATAAAATATTCAGGAATCACACACATTTTCAGCAGGAAATGCATTTTCTAGTTTATCACATTTCTCTCCTCTCCGCACAATATCTTGGAAAAACAAGCTGCATTCATGTTAATTGCGGGTTATTATTTAATTAATATGTATGTTTAAATGTGTCGATTTTGTAGATAGTACAATAAATATAATATACATACATATTGTTGTAAAATATTTGACAGTTTAATTTATAAAGTACATAAAGAATAATAAAGTTTCAGATATTCCAACACAATAAATTAACTATGTATGTAAGGAGTGGAAATGTTTTTTCTTCTTTAAAATGTTGTTTCTTTCCTTATCATTATTTTAAAAGTACATCTCCGAAGCTTGTTAAACACTGGCTCTGATCACCGAGATGTGCATGCTAATGTTAGGCAGGAAAGGGATGTAAGAGTAAATGTCTCTGACCGGTCTCTCCGTCCTCTCCTGGACTGCCTGCTCTCTGAGGAACAGCTGTTGCCCCCTCCACCTCACAGCCCACCACAGTGATGCCTCCGAGCACGTCTTCTCCCTCAGTTGAGCTGCTCGCTGTTGATTGTGAGCAGACGTTTGCCACTGGTTCTGTCTCAGAGTTTGGAACTACTTCCTCACCGGCTGGGTAGTCTGTCTCTCTTGCACCTTTATAAAGATACACACATAATAATGGTTTAAAGATGGGCATCCTTGTATTTGGTGCAGTTTATTTGTGTATCATTTGCACACAGTTTATCCTTTTCTTCAGCAATCAGATGCACATTAATCCACCCACTGACCTGGAACGCTGGCGATGCAGAGGACGTGGGAGTCACACACGAAGAAGCTCTCCAGGATGTTTCCGGCCTGGTTGGCGTCAATGACAACGACTTTGGTGGTGGACTCCGTGCTGGTACAGATCCAGACCAGCGACGACATCTCATCGTGGTGCTGCAACTCCTTCTGCTGATCCTGCAGAACAAAGCAAAAAGTGTGATTTGTAATCCTTTACATCAGGGGTATACAAACATTTTTCACCGAGGGCCACATACAGAAAAATATACGAAGGGCCGGACCGCTCACTAGAGGTGAGGTATATTACCTTATCAGTTAAGTTATAAATTAGCAAAATCCATCAAATGTAGGTAAATTATTCTTGATACTTGAAAAATACTTTAAGAAACACAAAAGCCTACATCACAGCTCTCCAGGGGTTTTGTTTTTGTTAAAAAAAAGTGGGCTTATTAACACATGCATACTGTGTAATATATTTGTACATATATATTTAAGTACAATATATGACCATCACAAGTTTCATTTGTGGGCCATACTCCATTATACTTTGAATTAGCTGAGGGCTGTTTCAAATGGGCTGCGGGCTGCATTTGGCCCCCGTACCGTAGTTTGGACACCCATGCTTTACAGGATTGTCATCGTCACTGAAACCTCTGTGTCTGTGTGTTTTACCATGAGTTCTTGGTCCAGTTTATCCAGGCTGCTCTGAGACCCTATCCTCCTTTTAGGGCTCTCTGGTCCAGGCACGTCGCTGTAGAAAACGCTGGCTCCTACGATGGAGCCTCCGTCTCTGGTTTTACCTCCGGAGAGGTTCACACCGGCAGCGCACCACAGCTGGAGCACGGACACATAGATACAGTGAATACCATGACACATGCATCGTTATCACACAGGTTTACTGTCTCGCATATCATTTGAGAGCTTTCAGATATTACGTTTGAGTCACAGCTAAGAAAAAAAAAAAAAAAAATTGCTTGTAATGCAGTTACAAGAATGGCTTTCAGCAGTATCTGGCGAATAACGGGCTTTCAGCAGTTTCAGTCACAACATATCAACATAATGATTAACAATATTTTTCCTGTCTAACAAGGGATAGTTCACTCAATAACACATCGGAGACAGCTGCCTTCTCTCCCATATGATGGTACTAGACCGCACTTATACACATACAAATTGAAAAACTCTACAACAATGTCTCTTTTCAGAACCATGACGCTTTTAATCAAGATAATCCAAAGACTTTGTTGTGAGCAGTATTCATGTAAGCTCTCCTGAACTAATCTTTTCAGCTCATGCGAGGAGGATGCCAACATTGAATAAATATAGCATGAACATCTCGTCCTTTAGTCGATGCAAGCTTACTTCTGTGCCGTGAGAGAAAACAGTTCCTGTATTAAACTGCCTTTAACAAGGTCTGTGGATTATATTGAGTGATGAGGATATTGGTTCTGAATAAAGACATTACTGTTGTAAAGTTGAAATAACTGATGTTTTCAAATGTTACAATGTACAGTATCTGAGAGAAGGCAGACATCTGCAGTATATGGTTTGAGTTCCCGAGTTTTTAAGCCACACCCGCAATTATCTAGATCAATTTAAAGCACAACGGGTAAGAAAAATATGCATTTCTGAATTTGAGCTGAACTGTCCCTTTAATACTGCGGATCAAACAAAAAAGGTTGATGTAGTTGTATTACATTAAGAAGCTGAAGGACATACCTTCATAGAAGCATCTTTCTCATCCACTGGTCTGAGGAAGACAGGAACAGGGAGATTCTTCATCTTACTCTCCACCTGACCACCGTTCGCCTGGAGAAAGACAAACATGCGTTAGAGTTTTTGTTCTGTTGTAGCTCACATCACAGCAGTTCTACCATGACCTGAAGAGGACCAGACATTCTGTAGTTCTCCTTACTTTGTACTTCTTGGGCAGACTCCAGCCGTAGGCCTGCACTCTGCCGTCCTCCTTCTGGACGTGAGCCTTCACCTGCTGGTACTGAGCCCGCTTCTGCTCCCGCCGGGACACCACGTTGTCCGCTGCCACTCTGCGGAGAGGACAACAGCTCACTGACACACATGGCTTTCCTACTTTTACTTTTTATACTTTAACAACATGTTACTTATTATACTTTTTTACTTTTGAGGGTTATAATTCAAACTGCTTCCTTATTGCAAATCTGTATTACTTCCTCTAACTGCAAGTCTGTTTGATCGTAACTGGTGAAATGTTCTCCACCATCTTTTAAATAACAAATTGCAAAGAAATAAATACTTTTGTACTTTTGCTAAAGATTTTGAATGCAATACTTTCACTTGTAATGAGTATTTTAACATTACTGTATTGGTACTTTTACTCAAATGAATCCTCTGAATACTTCTTCCACCAATGCTTTCATCATTTAAAGAAACAGGGACAAGTAGAACAATTGGATTAAAACATTTTGTAGCATATTATGAAGGATTTACATTGAGGTCACTATGTTTAGCACCTTTTTTACAGGGGAATCACTCCGCCAATTCACCAACTTTCAGGATCAGGAAAAAAACCCACACTAAACTGCTGAAGCATAAGTGTTAGGAAGGACTTGGTATAGAGAGATCTCTAGAGAGGAACGCAAAATATTTGATGTTGAAGTCCACTCAGTTTTGATTATTAATGGAGCCAATTTAAGCAATCCATTTCTTAGTGTGGGCAATATTAGGGAAATCGGAGCTAATAAAACTAATAAATCTTGCATTCATTTTGGCTTGATGGTGTATTAGTTGAAAGAACTACAAGCAATTTCAGTTTTAATTTCTCTGGGTAAATCAGATCTGTATGAGTGATGAAAAAAGGGTTTTGAGTCTCTAGTGCCTCAGCATACACAGGTAACAGCATCCCATCAAGTTTTCATCTCATTTCCTGTGAGCGACTTACTCCTCATTGAGGAAATCAAAGGCTTTGCTCTTGTCACTGGGGAGCTGCTGCAAGGTGGTGCTCCTCTTCTTCACCGACGGCTGAATCTGGGAGGTGGGTGCGTTGTACTTGACGTTCACCGGGGACTCGGACGCCGGCCTCTTGGCCGCTGGGCCCGACGAGCTGAACAAACGGCTGAAACTGCAAGTGTAAGGGTGGGGAAGTAGGAGGGAACGGGGAGAAAAAGCACACAGACAAACGTATAGAGGGGTGGACACAAGCGGTAGCTCCAGTGGCAGAAGTAAGTTTCAACATTTAAGGGTACACAAAAAAAAGGTTCCGTTTCCCCATGCCAACACACCATGCAAGCTTTCAGACGGGGAGCAATCACACATTGATATGCACTTCCCCATTGACCTTTGTCCTAAACAGCAAAGCACCAGAGCAGCTTTCATCCCAGAAGGCTGGAGTGCGGGGTTACTATTGTGCACCGATGAGGACGTTAGTCAACAACACAGAGCAAAACTGAAAAAAAACACCCCTAACTGTACAATGACAGCATACAATACTTATCACTATATCTGACACTTAAATACACCTCCAATGTTTCAAATAATACCAAATACTATAATCCTGTAGCTTCTTAAATAAGATAAAGTCCATGATGAGTCAATCTTTATTAGCGTGTACATGAGAGCGACCAATCTAGGTACTTCATGGCCCCCTTACCCTTTTTGGGTGAAAATATCTGCTGTCATTTCACTGGCAGTAAATACAAGTTTTCAAAGCAGAGAGAAAAAAAATAAAAATACAATCAATTTTATTATTTATTTATTATATTATTTTATTATGCTAAATTAGAGTTCCATATTCGTTTTTTGTGCCTCTACTGTGAAATGTCTCCATGCTTTATTGTTCAAAAAGTTATTTAATTTTCTCATACTGCCTGTGCTGCAGCACTTCTTTCCACCCTCTGTCTGAAATCAGAGCCCAGTCTGCTCTGATTGGCCAACCACTTGGCCAATGTCCCGCCCCTCAACCTATCACATACAATGTGTTGCGCTAGTCAGGCAAACTTTTACATGATTATATTGAAGATCGATGATAGTCGCTGATATATTGTAAAATGAAAAGCAATAGGTGGACATGAGGACTAATGATCCGACTCAATGGCAGGAGGTGTCATATCCTAATGTCTATAAGTACATTTGAATATGTAGGTGGTGTATATACGCCACCACTGTTTGACATTAGTCACTTTTTCCCCCGTCATTATGTTACGTCTTTTTAAATGTCTGCGTTCCTTTCGGATGTACAGGTATTGACTGGCTGAAGTTAAAGTAAAGAAAATCTATTTTGGATATGTTCTGTTGTCTGACGTGCAATACACGACAGCAGCTTTTAGGCATGATGGAAATACTTTTTCCTGCTTGGCGCAGATTCTTTCATTTCACCGGAAAAGGAGCGTGGCTCTCATGATGCCAGTCAGTCACCTAGCGCTGCTCTCATCTGTTCACTTCATTTGTAACTTTACTCCACCCACTATTCCCCCACCCCATCTCTGTAGCAACCTTCCCAACTCACCCCCTGCACACAGACACAACATCAGCAGGATATAGAGGGACACACAGAAACAGGGCAGGAAAGACAGTGGATTTATCAGATAATGCTTCTCTTTAACACACCCCTGCTCTTATCCTGTCACCAAAAAACCTGCCCCAAATAACATCCCCTTTCAAAAGCAACCAATCCAAACTCATTCCTTATGAAACTCAACAGAGGAGAGCCGGGATAAGATCACAGAAATGCAGTTTTTCAGATTTAGTTCTTCTAAGAACAAACAAGTGCATTCTTCCAACCTCAGAGCTCTCAAAAGCTTCTGTCAGGATTGATATTTATAACTTTCTTTAATTTAATAAAGAGAAAAAGACAAAGTAAAGTTGCTCAGATCTGATATCAGAGCTGCCGTTTCCTTCCTGGCTCTCCTCTGTTAAGACTTTGTTGTCAAGATGAAAACAGAACACCAGTCAATAAACACCTTTAGCATGTCAAAGATTTACCTACATCCTGGAGAAAACAACCACACAACATGGAATACAAAAGAAAATCAAAATTAAACAGAGAAATATTACTGTAGTCACGCTGTGGTTGGTGTTTGAGAGCTGAAGTGAGAAGAAAAGAGGATCTTACAACTGCCAGAGGCTGGATTTCTTCTTCTCTGGAAGAGTGGGGTTGTCCTTTGAAGCCCTGAGAGAGAGAGAGAGAGAGAGAGAGAGAGAGAGAGAGAGAGAGAGTTGAATTCATCACACTGAATGCTTTTGACTGGGTGTTACATCAGTTTCCTTATTTCTACTTCATATTCAGCGTGTTTTGTTTTTGTAGTATCTCTTTGAATGTCCCCTTTGTAGAGTGTGTGTGGATTAAGGCTCAGATAGGCAAAGAAAATGAGGAATTGTATTTAATTGCAACAGTCCATCATGATAAAATATCATAGCTCTGTTTTAGTCATTTCAACAAATGAGTCACATAATTTCCAATCAAGACTAAACTCAATTTCATCACTTTATATAAGGGATTATGAATTTTGAGTGCCATTTTCTGGTAACAAAACTAAAATGTTCACTTTGTCTGGTTAATGTTGTGTTTTATGCATGCTGGCATCTGTACTGCTTACAATTGGACACAGATTGGTTTTGTTAAAAAAGGAGTTGTAGCCTATTTCTTTAAACTGTTCATTAAATACCAAACATATGGACAGTCTTCTACTGCATAAACCATCGTCTGCTGGTGATCTCCTGAAATCATCTGTACAATAGAGTAATCATAAACTACCAATTACATTTAGACCACATTTTAAGGTTTATTGCCCTAAAACTCTGAATCTAAAGCAGGAACTAGATGACAACTTAACATGAAAGATCTTTTCATTTAAATATGAAAAAAAAAAACTTACCAGCACCTTACTATTACTACAATTACTGGCCATCTACAGCATACAGATGTTGCACAACTACACACTTGAACGTCATAATGATATGAATATCATTTAGTAGTAGGCAGTATACCACATATGTAATTATTTAATAAATATCAGCTAAATGGAAGAAGGTACATTTACTTTACACTGATAAAGTGACCTACAGTATTGATGTAGAAACAACACATTTGTGATCATGCATGAGTCAATTATATCAAATAGTATAGCATATAGAGCACAAATGCAGAAAATAACTACTATGTCATTTCACAAATTGATTGATTCTTCCATTTTTCCAGCTCTACAGTACTTCATATGGTCTTACCGGATCATCTCGGTCCACCTGACCGCCTCCTGCAGCTCCATCAGCCTCTCCTTGTACTGGTTCCTCTCCATCAGGACCCTGGCCATCTCCACCCTGGTGAAGCGCTTCCTCTGGGCTGTAGGCACATCGCTCTGCTGAGAAAGCATGAGCAGGAGACCACTCAACCACTATTCAATATATATACAGATTATAAATATTGGCACATTGACCTTTTATTTATTTTCGCATGATCAATCCAAATTCTTATGAAGCTTTTTAAAGGGCAACACTAACAGCTGTGGAAAAGGTATTAAGTGAAAAGGTACATTTTACTAATTAAATCAGTTTCAAGGTTTGTGTAGAATTCCCAAAGAACCTCTACTGCTGTTATCCATCCATCACAAAATATATCAAGAGCTTACGTCCTCCTCATTGTCGTTTTTGACCTTCTGTTTGGACTCCTCAAGCTCTGCCCGAATCCTGTAAGTAAGTACACAAGAAATAACTCTTCAGCAGCCACTTTTATGCTAAATATATACTAAAATGTGGTATGTAGACCGACGGGCAGGTACTTACTTCTTGATTTCCTCTTCTAATTCTTTGTTCTTGTCCTCCAGTTTGGTCTTGGCCTGAGTGACGGTCTCCAGCTCCCCCCGCAGAACCTCCTTCTCACAGGTCAGATCATCCATCTGTGCTATGAGGTCATTTTTCACCACGTTCAGAGCATTTCTGTAAACAAACACATGTCAACATACATTACCCACAAGGTGGCAGCACTGTCCTGTTTTTCAACTATGCTACAGAGCAGATGTTTTTTGCATGTGTTCAATGAGTTTGCATAATTTAGTGGGAATGCTGATACAGAATTTTGCACCTCTTCTCCTCCCGCATTGAACATCGCAGAAACTCTGTTCGAACATCAAAACGTTCAGCTCGGTCGGGAATCAATGGCTATTACTTTTCTCATTCATAACTTTCATAATTCCAGAGATACATCCCATAATTCATCCCATTTTTAACATGGAAGTCAATGGAGAAATTCTTCAGACTTCAACAAATCTTCATGCGACTTCAACTGCTAACTGTTCATTCATACTTTCACTCACCTCATTCCAACTTTAAAATGTTACACATCTTTCTGACATTATTCGTGTAACACAACTTTTAAATCTGATTCTTACTTTTAGAGATATTAAACATTGTTCAGACCTTGGTAAAGAGGTTTTCTTCAGATTTTAACTAGAGTGCGTGATGTGTGTAGGAAATCTTGAAATTTGCCTTCATATTTATTTTTAAAACTGCCATAATTCCCAAACCCTACATTCCTGAGACATAATTTTTCAAACGTAGGAAAACATCTCTTAGCTTGAAAAATGACAAATAATTAAGCAAAACAATTAAACAAAATGCCTCTTGAGGGCATGAAGTGACAAAAACGTTCAACATGCCTCCATTAAAGCCCATTGTAATTTCAGGCAGATATTTCCTCATGGTAGCAGCCGTCCTTTAGTTAATCTGCCAAAAAGGCCACATTATTAACCCGAAAGTACACAAAAATTACACTTCAGATACTCAACTTCCTTGACATGCTTCACTGTTTGAAATTTCACAGATATCTGTTACGGTTCTTCCACAAAACATTCACATGTAAGAGGTTTATCTCTCATTCAGAACAATGGAAACCTTTGATCTCTGCACACCTCGTTAGCTCAAATATAAACACCTGTGTCATGGAACACGATGATGTCATCACTCCAACTGACATGCTCAGAGCAGCAGACTTCAGATAAAGGTTAATGGTCCTGCCCTCAACAGCTCTACTTCAATTATGGGGTGTCATCATATGCCAAAGATCAAGAGAAGAGAGAGAGAGAAGAGAGAGGGTGATCAAGAGAAGAGAGAGAGTAATGTAACCTCCTAATGTATTGTATAACTCCTATGAAAATATTCAAAAAGTGCTCAAACTTCACATGTGTGCTAACAGTCCAGCCGTGAAGACATCTAAGGGACAGTTTTGAGATTTCTTCAAATGCCGTTGCCATGGCAACACAATGCTCGCCTTGAAACACGGTTTTCTCATAACTTCAGTGAAAATACTCCAAACAGCCCAAAACTTCACAGGTTTAGCAACGATGCAGCCATCAACGCATCTAAGCGTATTATGGGGTGTCATCAAATGCCGTTGCCATGGCGACAGGCAACTCGCCATGAAACACGATGTCGCTGTAAGTCCAATCGACACGGTCCAATCGTCCCCCAATCTTCACTTGTATATCACCGGTCCATGCCTCAACAGCTCTACGCCAAATCTGAGATCTCACCATATGCCGTTTCCATGGAAACGCATCCCTCGCCATAAGATTTTTTTCAGCATAAGGCATTCCCACTAGCAATTTCTTCAGGAATTGCATTCTCTAGTTATCTAAAATTAATATTTAGAATGAAGTATGTTTGCAAACTTCGGTTACAAACACAAACACTGCAGTTAGGTCATAGTAGATTGAATGGCAATAAACAGCTTTTGCTTTTTTTGTATCCACACTGTAGATGCATCTTTAGAAGCCTGAAATTGATTTGTCAGAATAACCGTCTGGAATCTTATGCATGAATAACAAACAATAACAACAAGCATTTTGTAAAAAAAAAAGGCAAAAATAATGGATTTATTTGGCATGTAACTTAACATGACGTACTAATGTAGCATTATCTGCAATCGTGATATAGATACTTTGACATTAAAAGTAATTTTTTCATTAAATGCTTGTAGTTTTCTCTCTGGCTGCTTACATAAACACTTGTGGAAGATAGAGTTGGCTTTGAATAAAAGACAAAAAAAGGTAATAAGTACTAACTTGGTCTCCAGCAGCTGGGTGTTCTCATGGATAAGATGTTCCACTTCCCGACCCATACCTGAAAAGGATCAGCCATAATGTGAATACACAGTATTTTATTTAGTAATTTGTTCCATCAGGAAATAATTGATCCTTGTGACTACCCTACAAACTAGGATTCTCTCAGTCTTACCCAGAAAGGTGTAGTCTGAAAGTCATGGAAAAGATGATGCAGCAAAGTAAGAGATTTTTAAACAAGTTCTCATTGAAACTGAAACTATTCTATAGGTACTGCCCAACACAACACTGTAACACTATTCACAATCCTGCACATCTATGCCACAAGGTAACTAAAACCGACTCAAGGACATACATTTAGTATGAGAAGCTGGTAAAGAAATATTTGGGGAATTAATTTAAACACACCAGAAAACTCATCTGTAATGAGGATGAAGCCCGACAGCCAAGGAAAGACAATTGAGAAATGAAGTGATGAAATGATGAGTAAAGGAGATGATGAAATGATAACATCCAGTCAGGAGGCTTCTTACCCAGCATGTCGGCTCCTTCATCCACGTCTGCTATCATGTCGTTCCCTGCAGACGACAGCTCCTCAAACAGAGAGTCTGTGTTACGGTCAAACGCCAGATTCTCTATCCGACCTTTAGTTGGTGTGCTGGATGTACAGATGAGAAGGGGAGAAAATGTGAAACAAGAAAGAGAGAACATAATGATTATAAAAGTGAAAGAGGCATCGTGTCGCAAGATTTCTTTTGCATAATAACGCCAGTCTTATACATCTGAATTTGTGTTAGTCAGCTGTTTATATTTTCTTTAAAATATTAGTCCTGTATTACATTGTTAGTTAATTATATTGAGTCAACCTAATCCTGTTTTGTTGTTAGTTGATTAAAGAGATATTGTATTCAAGTTTTTATAGTTTAAACCACAGTTTTGTCTCAATAACAATATTTCATGATGGACTTGTCTTAGTCACGGCAAAAAGTCATCGTTTTTGTGAGGAAATAAACATTGATATAACATAACTTTTCCTTTCACCAGTATTTTTAACACTTTGTGAATCTATGTGTTACTGGTTGTTAACATATACCATTTAATGACCGAAATGATTTGTATTTCACTATATTGATTTACTGTATTTATTTTTCTGTGACAGAGATCCATTGCTTTCCAAAAACTATTAAAATATATTTATACGGCATTCATAGAAATGGGCAGCAATATATTGCGGTATAAATATGGTAATAACGGGGGGGGACACATTAGTAGCATTGGTTGTCTACTTGAAATTGTTGCCAGTCACATCATTTAACCGTTGTGCACTAATGTCATTAGAGACAAAATGTCTGCCTCAAAAACTTACATTAAATTATACATCTATAATATTTTTCACTTTAACTAAGTCACATTCAGTTAACCAACTTCAGTTCTGATCTAAACCACCCAATATAATTTTTTTCTTAATTTAAATGTAAATGCCGGTTTGTTTAAATAATTCTATTAGTTGACAAAGACAAAAACATGTTCCCAAAATGTATGCTAGATGCATTAACGTAGAGACAATAAAAAAAAATCCCCAGTGAGGGAAAAGGGTTGAAATCTTTCTAACTTCAGGGTAATGATGATATAACATCCAATAATAAGTCCTGTACCTCGTTCCTATGCAGCCTTCGAGACCCATGTCCAGCTCTGGAGTGGACTCTATGATGGCCTGAACCTCAGATTTCTCCACATTCTCCGCTCCATCTAATACAACCAGCAGGGATACAACACAGCGGGATGAGTAGCCAGTACTCTCAAACTGAGGGGGGGCTTAATGTTTACTGCAGTACGTACCATCAGCTTTGAGGGGTGTAGAGGCGTCATGTCCAGGCTGACCCTGCTGTCCTTCCTGCACGGCTGCAATGCTCTTACTGCTCTCTGGTTTTCCTCTGCTCCTGTCCAGGTTCTTGTTGAGCACGTCAGAAACTTCCTCTGACTCCATGGAAACATTGGAAGCAGCAGGGGACAGGGGTGATCCAGATGTCAATGGACTCATTCCGGTAGACACTCCGTCATGAGGAGACTGTTGTGTGGTTGACTGAGAGTTAGCACTGTGTGAAGATGTGTTTGATTTAGAGGCACCACCCTGAGACCCTTCACTTTGTAAAGTAGTTCCAGTTTTGGAGACCCTTCCCTGGTTGGTTGGCGTACCGGACTTGGAGCTGGAACCGGCCAATTCATCCTTAAGATAGAAGAGGAGGGAGAGGAGGAGTGGAGAAGAAGAGAGTGAGGGGATATCATTCAAATCAAAAAGGTACATCTATTTACTTCATGGCTATGGCAATAAATGCAGCTACTTTGCAGAACATATTGATCCGAACACAATAAAACAAAAGTGGGATCAAGGTGAAAATATGTTCAAAACTCACTGCATTTCCAAACTTGATTTAAATAGATAAACACTTTAAATAACGAGCGTCAAAGTTGACATTGATTTTGAAAACGTGGTCTACAAACTAACTTTTTACCAGAGGCATACTTGGGCCACATGAAGACAACAGAGACAATTTAATCATAAGCTAAGGAAAAAGCTGGTAAGTGAACCATGAGTTATGATTCTTCAACATTTGAGGAACTACAATAGCACGTACATCTACATTCCTTCTATTTAAATAAAATCAAGCCAAGAGTAGTAGATGTTACAACCAACAGTGTGCAGTGTGCACCAGTGCACCTTGACATGCAGCTGAACACAAACCAATCACTAACCAAACCACCACATGCAACCAGGACATTCTATGTTTGACAAATCATATCGTTTCTGGCAATGAACAACCAGAAGCCAAACTGTGGTTGAGTGTGAAAACAGCCTTAAGATATGGATCCAAATGCTCAGAGTGAGGGAAGTCGTGATAAGTAATAGCCACTGATCAATCTCATATACAGTAAGCCATGGCTCAATGTCATCAACTCTCCCAATACGCTAGTGGTTTACCTTAATGGATAGCAATAATTGTAATGTTACCAATTAACAGAAAATAACAAAACAAAATATATTGCTTTTAAATGTTGAGGCCGCCTAAAAATAAATAAGGGTCAACATCATGCAGTGTGAATGACATATGAAGTTAAGCCAGTATGTTAGCATCATTGTATTTAATCACACCAAAGCCAATTGTGTTAATGACTAAACTTGATATGTTTGGTAGACGCCAGGGTTAGAGTTTCTCTGAGTCACACACAGGTCTACCTGGGCCTTTTCAGCATCCTGACTGGGAAATGTCTCCTTTGAACTTTCACCTTCCCCTTTGATTGGGGAGAACTGTTCCTCAAAAATGAGGGATATTAAAACACCTTGGTCATTAATATTTTTATATTAATTCCACAAAATGACTTCATGTGAAAAAAAGGTGAAATGTAATGTACAAACATACAGAAATAACAGGACGTTGCAGGAATTATCGGGCCATAGAAGCACGTTTGCACCTGTCTGCCACTGTTGCATGTATCCCAAAAATAAACAAAGCTGTGGGGTAAGCCTAAACTGAACTACACGAGCGTACAGTGTTTTGAGCCATATTTATAGCTACACAAAGTGACTAGGTTGGCAATTGCTGAATGAATGAAAATGACCTTGATGTACAGTACCCAATAATCACTCTTAGGTTTCATCAGCTCTCAGCAGCTCTATGTGGCACACAGAGTTTCTAACCCTGTATTGTTTTTGATCTGTTAATGCCATTGGCTTGAGTGCTACAAATAGAACAGGGCATGAGGGAAATTAATCAATCAGGACAACAACAAGGCAGCAGATCCCTCGGTCACTTTGAGCAGACTTTAATAACACAAGCAGATATTGAATGAGAAATTCTCTACATTGGTTTATCCCTTTTCTTGTGTCCAGTTCATCTCACTGCAGACTTATGGCAGTATTTCATTTCATGTCTGGATGCTGCTTTTACTCTATTGTTACTACAGCTGCACTGAGCAGCCTCCTCTGCGGATAATGGCTTCTCACCGACCATCCAAAAACATTCACACACACAAACATGCCCCTTCATGTGATGAGAGGGAATGGATTATTAACTGTAAATCTTTGTGACTGGTTAACATATACAGCAGTACCTTTGGAAAATGCCCAGAGTGCCTGGTGTGTTTGTGTGTGTTGCAGTTGTGGGAGAAAGGTGTGCTGCTATACCTAAATTGTACTCAAGGATTTAGGTGCTGATAAGAGCAATTTATCAACCATTTCTGATGCCTGTTATAAAACAAGTCCTGAACTCTAAACTTACAATTTCTCTCTGACCCTGTACTAGTGTAATAACAGCCAATGAATACCTATTAGGCAGTCATTAATATTCATGATGGCCTTGCCTGCAACATGGTCTCCAACAGCAACAATGTGAAGACACTCCACCCTCCCCTGAGGTTAAACACAGGCCCCAGAATGGTACCACTTCCTCCGCCTGCTGGGCTTCAAGCCACCCCGTTACACACACAAGCGGCTGCTAAAAATTCTGGACACACTCAACAATCCTTTCTCCCTCCATAGAAATGTACTCTCTCTTTGGCATTGAGGGCTTGCAATTTGGTTGATGTCACTAGTCCCATCCGTGGGAATCTGTATGAGCCAACATCTGACAGTAACTAACACTTTGAAACCGGTCAAATAAAGCCGTGTGTGTGTGTGTGTGTGTGTGTGTGTGTGTGTGTGTGTGTGTGTGTGTGTGTGTGTGTGTGTGTGTGTGTGTGTGTGTGTAGCTGTACGTCATACCTGGAGACTGGTATTAGAGCGCGGATGGCTAAGGTTGTTGAATCTCCATGGTTCTGAAGGGGTTTCAACGGGTTCCTTGTGGAGCTCAGGGGTCACACCATCAGCTCCGGGAAGTTGGAATATGCCCATGGAGATGGGACGCTCCTTTCTGGATATAAAAACAATAGAAGGATTGATCACAATGTAACACCGCAATTTCGAAAGAAAGGAATATACAAATGTCTGAAAGACTGGCCGGTTGGTGATGTCTTTCTCACATTATTAGAATAAAAAGAAAACAAGACTTAGCCTCTAATGCATCTCTATGAGGCTATACTTAGGAAGAGCAGTGCTGAATGCTAATGTCACCATGCTAATAAGCTCATAATGGTAACCATCTTATTTAGCTTGTAAGGATGTTACATTTAGCTAATAAGCACTAATCACAAAGTATAGCAGCTGTTGGGTGAGGTACACAATGAGTTTTGCAGGGATTTAGTCTTAAACCAACGTAATTGGACAAAGACTGCTTGATCATTGTAAAAAACCCTATCATATTTGGGAATAACAGCATCCTTGATACAACATAAAGGAACTTGTTTGATATCGTTTTCATAATTTTAGGAAGCCAAAATTGTACCTGAAAATACATTTGCTAATCCCCAAGCCATATAGTGGACAAATACAAAATGTTGAATGTTAAAATAGACTGAAATCGAAAAGTGAGGAGTTTGCAAAAGTTATAGCATTTGATCCTCAAGAGTGTATATAACAAATGTCCAAGCAATCCAGAAAAACAGTGGCCAGAAGTTCTTTCCTAAAATCACAAATGCCAACGTAATGACATCGCTATTGAAATAGACAGGATTACAAATGCAGTATGATAAATCGTTTGGGAAGTGAACCATGAATATCTGCACAAGCCACTTGATCTTGCAAAGTGTTAGAAATGTCCTTAGGATTCATCCTCTGTGTTCAATGGATGTCTTGCTTAATTATGTTGCAATCTATCCAAAAACAGTAGACATATTTCTGTTTAGACCAAAGTGTACCATAAAGAAGAGTTAGGGAGACCGTAACCAAGAAAAGCAGTCCCAACAGCAGCAGGGTGCAAGAACATTACACGTATGAAGTGATTTATATTGTGCAATAAGAAGTGCCTGATATGAGATATATTTTATAATATATAAAACCGGTTGGACAGTTTCTCATTAGAATGTTGTCACCCTCTCTCTTCATGTTGTGATGAGATTCCTGCAGAGAAAGTGACCCTTGGTATAAAAGTGCTGGGTGAAGTGATAAATAAAGTTGCCAACGCTACTTTAAGATCCTGTTCTTCACTGAGCCTGAAGTAACACTTACGGTACTTAAATAAACGGGCAAGTAGTTAAAATGTCAGCATGTCTCATGTAATGACTTGGACAACACAATATTAATTGTGTGACGAGTCAGAGTGGAGACTTCACAGAGAAGCGTTGCTTCAAAGACTGCCTTGGGACAGTTTGGCACTGAAGTGATTGGAATAGAAATAAAGCTGCTCATAAACTCCACTACCTCCCATCTATTAGCTCAGGCAATAACATTAATCCAGTTGTATCTGTCTCTATGATGGGATTTGTAGCAGCATGAGTGTTATTAAAGGATGTCAGCAGAGAGATATATCAGCATGAACACATATCTGTTACCATCTCCATCTCTTATAATAAAACGTATCAACAGCACACTCTTGCATGGAGGGGATGATACTCTAATTCACAACAACTCTGGGCACTGAAAGTCCAATAATACTCAATAATGCATTATGATAAGTAAATATAGAGTACCCTCCACTGCATCACACAAGGTAAACACCAGCAGTTATTCTCACTCCAGTGGCTTGGTATGAAGTGAATATTGTACAGTGGAGCAGAACAAAGGCTGCCATTGAAAAGAGGCCCAAAAACAATGGACACGCCACCATATTGAGAGCAAGAGGTCACATGCAGGCCACTGATGGTGACCAATGTGGCCTTTTGTTATTTCAACCGGGATGCAAAAGAAAATCATCCACTACCATTTTATCTTGAAAAATATGCTAATTTACTTATGAGAATAATCATTAACAGTTATAAACTCTAGCGAATTAGATATAGCGATATAGTCTTTCAGATATGGCTACTTTTAGAGTGCAGTCTCATGCTGTCAGTTATAACCCAACCACATGGCAGCAACATTGAGACAGGGTGGCTACAAACTGACAGTCTACAGAGACGACAGAGAAGATACATTAATTAAGTATATAAAGATAAGATACACACATAGAGGTTATACCTGCTGACTCTGGGTAAGGAGGGTAAAGAAGGCAGGGCAGGTAAGCCGCCGGTAGAGACAGAGTAGTGAACCAGAAGCAGCACTGACAGGGACACCAGCACAGCAGAGTTGATAACCACCGCTCCGCCTACAAAGCCAAAAACAAACAGCAGCATACGCCCGGGGCTCATGGCCCCCCCAGATCATGGCCCAGTGCCTCAACAGGGACCAGGAGGTTCAGACGACAATGGCAAATGAGGTGGGTCACTGAAGCACCAAATTCAGCCTGGGAGGTTGGACATTGGCCACTGTGAGTACATCTACAGTGGAGGTCAAATATGCTGTAATCCTTCTGGCTGGGAGTTTGCGGCAGAGCTGTTGGCTCCGTACACTGCAGCACAACTGTGAGCAGCAGTCACAACAACAGTAATCCTTGAGGTTTCAGCAGCAGTGAGAGCAGGAACACACAGCGCAGAGTAAATCATCCACAGAGAGCAGGAGAGGCAGGCAGCAGCAGCAACTCCTATCCTCCACTGTCCTCCTCTAGCAGGGTCTCCTTCCTCCTTCCTATCCTCTGCTGAGATACGACACAGCTGCCGCTGTGCAGTCTGGAACACTCTGACGCTCTCCCACCCTCACTCTGTGGCACCCCCCACCCCTCCCTCCCTGTCTAACTCTCTCTTTTGGGTGCTGAGGCAGCTTGTTTCGTATGCCTCTTCTCAGGCTGCAGCTTATTGGCTGCCAAACAGGGAGTCTGATCTAAAGTTGTGTGTGTGTGTGTGTGTGTGTGTGTGTCAACTGGAGGGATATGTTAAGGCTAGGATTTAATGGGGGCTCTCTAAATACACACTACAGTGTGAACCACTATTCACACCTCTGTTTTATGTTTTAAAGTTGAATTAAAGCAGTACATTACAGGGAATCTTATCAGTACAAACTGACAGAAATGGCACAATGAAAGAAAGTTTGCAACTATTTCTATCGGTAGCTTTATAAGTTAAATGGTTATCATACAACACTATTATTGTACTCTTTTCTGTCTGCTCACAGCTCTGTGGGGCTGTACTTGAACTAAACTCCAATGTTTACATGCTAATAGAGTGGTGCAGGGATGACGTATTTCCCCGGAAGTAAGCTGCTGGTTCCCTCAACACCAAAGCAATGGGATTTCTCCATAGGATTTTGGAAAATAGCTCGAAATAAGGTCTGTGGAAAACGAACCTGTTAGATAAATGCACGTTTTGTTCAGCCGGGTAATATCCACATGTCTACCCTACTTTTATAATTTTCTAAATCATAAATGGAATCGCCAGAAGCAAAATGCTAACGTTATGCTATAAACGAACTACAGCAGGGTCGCTGCTTCAACGTCACGCCAACTTAAGATCCATATTCAAACATACAGATTCCAAATTGTACGAGTTGAAGCGTTTGTTTGAACAGTTTGCAGGAGGCAGGTACTTGCTTTCAAGCAGAACAGGGGCAAATGTGTTCGGCGTAATGACCTCGACAACTTCTGTACTCCTACTCAGCCACTTGTTAACAACCATCGTTTTTCAGACACATAAACTCTTCAGAAATCACCAGTGGGGTCACTGCTGATGTATTTAATGTCGTAGAACAAAACGTGATCCGTCTCTTAAATGTGTCTCAACCACAGACCTTATTTCCAGCTATTTTCCAAAATCCTATGGAGAAATCCCATTGGCTCTGAGACGAGGGAACCGGTAGTGGTAAAATGCTAACTCACTTCCGGGATTTAGGACTCGTCATTGCACCACTCTATGATTAGCAGGTATAATGTTTACCATATTCACCATGTTGGTTTATGCTAGTATTTACTGTTCGGCAATAAATGCAAAGTCATTAGTCCATTAGTTGACCTAGTGTCTTTAGTTTTGCTGGCATTACTTTATAAGCCAAAGTGTGAGAAAGTGTTAAATGTTGACCTGATGATGGTGCTAGAGGGAAAGTCAATCAATGACCAAATGTATTGCAATTCGTGCATATGTGAAAAAAAGGTGGATGTGAATATAGGTCAGATTTGGTGGCAGTACATTGAAGAATCAATAACAAACCATCCGATGGCTAGGGTGGGAGACCAATGTGTAAACAGAAACGGAGTGAATACTGGTACTTGCTGACACAAAGGGCTGAACCAGTATATCCACACAAAATACTAATTACAAATAAAACAAATAGCCTTTTTTGAAATTGATATGTTCATAATAACTGATAAGTGGGTCTGCTGACCTCCTGGCATCTGCAGTAGGCATAATCTGCTCCACAAGTGAGCAATCAGCCACAGAGCTCATCAGGCCATCGTAGGATTACTGGAGATGACCGTGACAGCTCTGATCTACAGCATCCTCTATCCGTCCCACTCAACTCCAGTTTCATTTATTTCAGAAGTTTATAACGAAGGTCTATCTTCCATAAAGTCTGTTCCATGTGTCTGTTCCAATACAGGGTTGCTGTCCAAATCAATTGAATGGACATAAAACACACCTTGTCAAGCCTTAAAATCCAATGTTCTCATTTATTGTATTGTGCCCATTTTCAGGTTCATATTTGTATTCTGTGCCTCTGCTGGGACATGTCTCCATGCTTTAATGTTCAAAAAGCTCTTTATTTTTCTCATTCTGCCTCTGCTGCAGCTCCTCTTTTCACCCTCCGTCTGAAACCAGAGCCCAGTCTGCTCTGATTGGTTAGCTGGCCAGCTCTGTTGTGATTGGTGAACTGCTTAGAGATTTTACATCCCTTAACGGTACCTATCGCGTACAATGTGTTGGAGTACTAGCCAATTGAAGTTTGAGTATTACATAGTGATGTCATTATGTACAGTAATGGAAGTAATCAAAGTATTTGAATGGAGGCATTTCACGCAGGGTGGGAGAGAAACTTCCTCTGGTGGAAACTTTGGGATGTAGCCTTTGCAGACCATTAACATGAATGAAAACCTTTATATAACACACTACAGGAAAGGGGAATATCGAAAAAGCATAATAGGGCCTCTTTAAGAAGGAACTAACAGTATGTAATGAGTATGGTGTGGTTGTCTCACCGTGTTCTGGCTGATGTCCCTGTATCTGAGGGCTCATGTGCGACTGCATGCTGGTGTTTCGTTCGCTCCAGGTGCTCCATGTAGCTGTGGATCATCTGGAAGGGATATGGCAACACAGAGTCGTGGAATAAGCTTCAATTTCATTTGGAGGTAGTTTCGTCTCAATATGGCAATATTGTAACTCAAATTGTTTAAAGTGTCAACAATAATTATATGTGTATCTATGTTGCATTTGTTCCACATATGCTAAATAAGATTTGTAAACTCGGAAAATACTTTGCACATATACAATTGATCTGCAAATAAAAGAAATCTGTAGATACATTCAATTGATTTACTTACATTTATGTAAGTAAATGAAAAACATTTGTTGATATCTTTCATAACTTTGTGAATCAAGTTATGTTTGGGGATCAAAAAAGCGTTTATGGATTTTAACTCTATGTTTTGCACCAAACATACACAGAGTTTTCTGACATATGCGATGGCCGTGGTTTCTGCATTTCAAAGTAAGAGCAGTACAGGTTGTGTGCCGTTTATTTTTAATTGTTAACATGTGTTATGCTATAATAAAATCCCAAAAACCTGTACAAAAAAACGAGGATGAAATGACTGTGTTGCTACCAAACTACAGCATACGTGATTATACCGTTTGAAACATTCATGGTCACTCACACATGAAGAATAAGTCTCCAGACTCAGCTGTGACAGGATGTAGATTTGCAGCATGCAGGTGACAGCTTTTATCGGACCTTCACCTTTTCTATTCAGCATTATTCAGATCAGCAGTTGGCTGAGAGGTTTTAGAGCAGGGGTGTCAAACTCAAGGCCCGGGGGTCAAATCCGGCCCGTGACTTCATTTTCTGTGGCCCCACAAGAGCTTGCAAAGAATTTAATATGTTTATTATACGGTTACATGCCGATTTACAGAAGGATGATGCCCATAAACTACATGTCCAACAAAGCATCTCAAATTTGACTTTTTTTCTCAGAATTTGACTTTTTTTTCTTCTAAATATGCATTTTTTTCTCAGAATTTGACTTTTCTTCTTCAAATATGCTTTTTTTCACAGAATTTGACTTTTTTTCTACAAAACATGCTTTTTTTCTTAGAATTTGTCTTTTTCTCAGAATTCGATTTTTTTTTCAAAACGTTGCTTTTTTTTCAAAACGTTGCTTTTTTTTCAAAACGTTGCTTTTCCCCCACAAATGTCACTTTTTTCCAGAATGTAGTTTTTCTTTTTAAATCATTTTATGACATTCTCACCGAAGAGACTTGCAATTTATTTGCCGTAGACTTCTGCTTTCAGACGTAGTTAATTATGAAGTTATTACCCTATCCGATAACAATCCAATGCAGAGGCAATAATGTAATATAATACATCATTTTATATATATTAAATATTTATATAGTCTTAAAGTTACAACCGGCCCTTTGAGTGCCACCATAATTCCAATTCCAATGTGGCCCGTGATGAAATTGAGTTTGACACCCCTGTTTTAGAGCATCTGTTAGTGATGCATTATTTATTAAGAGAACTAGGCTGACTAATGACTCAACAAAAACATTATTCATGTTTGGATACTTCATGTTTTAATCATCTTTTCATTTTCACAACTTTTTATTTAACCAGAGGTGCATATAATTACACTGATATTGGAATGTATTGATGTGGAGTAATTCAATAATTCCTTTCTTCTTTTTTATGTGTTTTTGAAAAGCTAATTTGTATACAAACTGAAGCATTCCCTCTATATAATGCTTCGAAAACAATGCCTGAAAGATAATTTATCTACTGCTTTTTCATACATACACATTCACTTTTATATTGACAATTGATATTTTATTGATGTTTTTATGTTGTTCCTGAAGTTTGACATCAATATTAGATTTGTAAAATGATCTTGTGTTTACTATTAAACAGTGATGTCATTAATTAGGTGGAGGCTCCAAATTGCTACCTTTTCTCTGCACCGTGTATCATTAGTTATGTGAAATACAGATACAACACTGTGTGTATCTGGGTGACATAACCAAACACACGTCATTATCCCAGGCAGACATACCTCAGTGTGTCTCTGATGAAGCGTGTTGTACTCCTTCTTGAGGTCTGCTTCTCTCTCGTCACATCTGATAACTGCATGGAAAAAAAGAAAATTACTTAAAGTGCATATCATGAAAAACACCATAAGTTAACAACAAAGATCTTAATAACAACAGCAATAGTTCAACAAATAACAAGTATGGATCAAACTGCCACACTGACTAAATGTGCCCAGTGGGAAACCAAGTACTGTATACACAATTTCTTTCATTGGATTCTGGGGTACCGATTGGTGCTAGAGTGCAATAACCTCTCATGGCCAGAGGAGGGCCACCATGCATCAACAAACCCCTCTGAACCAGAAGGAGACCGGTTATCTCAGCCCTCTGAAGCAGGGACTTTCAATCTTAAAATGACCTAGCAGCTCCTTGGGTTTTTTTTATTTCAATGGTGTCAAAAGTGTTATATTAATGGATGTGGTTTGTAGTAGGGTTTCAAGATAAAAAAAAACTAATTTCACCTATTTCGGCTGATATTGCAATTGATTCACAATATTGGAGGGCATTAAACAAAGATATCTTTCAGAAGTCCATAGAATACGATTTGTAGGGCCAGCAATTCTCTGTTGCAACAGTAATTCCTTAATTTAGAATAAAATGTACACATATTTAGCTTGCAACACGTATTGCGCCTCCTGCAATTTGAACATTACACTGGTGAATAGCCTATATTGCCATTACCACTTAAAGAGGCCCTATGTAACACTATATTGGCTAACGCTCCAACACATTGTACGTGATATGCCAAGGGGCGTATCATGTGCGGAAACATTTCCCACACATCTCATAACGGATGACCAATCCAAAATAAAGACCTTTTTAAACATTAAAGCATGTAAACATATCACAGTAGAGGCACAACATACAAATATGAGCCATGAATTTTGCATAATATAGCCTCTTTAAGTTTAGATGAATATGCAGCCCCAGTTTGAAATGATAACATTCAAAGTAACCTTAAGGTAATCACTGGAAATATTGGTGAATAGTTATTTTTTAAACTACACATTACCTGTTTACAATTTAAAGTTAAACTAAAGTGGAATAAAGGTAATTAACAATAGACACACTTATCTTAATAGTAACAATCACCCTCAGTGGTAATCCATCTGTGGCCTTAAGGTGAGATCAGTTTGTAGTCACAACAGCCACACAGTCTTCCTGCATTGCCAGATGCCAGCAAAGTCAAATGCCCTCTAACAAAAAGCTGGCAGTGGCACTTCAAAGTCCCTTACCATCTGTAAAAGTGGCCATGAAGAGCCGGCTGTGAGCTGTCACAACTTATTTGCACGACCTGTCATGCTTCATGCCTTGCAGCACGTCGGAAATATTGTTTTTTTCAGGTGTTTAAGGCTCATGTACTTGATATAGAAACAACACCTACGTAATCAATGAAGAACAGTTCCGCAGTGAGCAGCTGCATAGAGGGATGTAAACAGTGATGCAGTGTGCCTATGAGAGGGCTGAAAGGGGAACTAGGAGTGGAGCAGAAATAACCTGGTTAAATACAGAGGTGTGAGTAAATGGAAGTGATGCTAAGGAAAGCCCCACATGATGTTCTCATTCATGTCAAAGTGAAATAAGTATATAAAATACAAAAAGTAAATAAAGTGATAATAATTTTGAGTGTTTGTTGTCGTTTATCCAAGTTTTGTTTGTTTTCAAATTTCCTTTGATACAATTTAGCAATAATAGAACAACAATTCGGTACCTAATACATTCTACTGACCTAGAGTGTATACATAATTACTTTCATTATTAAATAATGTGCTAATGTTCCCTTTTTTTATTTGATCTTCTTTAAATCGATAATAGCTAGGTGTATGAAATGTTAAGCATTTTTAATGTTTACAATATTTTCAGTCGATAAATGACGTAAATGTATTGATTATCCCAGAAAATTTCCCAACAATTTTTCTGTTGACTTTTTCTAGTTTCCCCTCTAGTACCTCTAAACAAATGCCCAGAGTTGAGTCTATTTTTTATTTGTATTATTTAGTTTAATTAATCAGTTTCCTTTGGTTCATATTGTAGTTAGAGTATGTTTGAGTGATCCACTGACATCATCAAACCCACACTAATGTTCCCTCAGCATGAATGAGGCGTATTTGACGGCCCTGCGCTGAAACTAACAAGCGGTCACACACATTGTCAACAGTGCAGTCATGCACTCATCATGAGGGATTTATTTTCATGATCTAAAAACAGTCTTTAAGACTTAAGGGAAGACTTGTACTTGAATATATTTTATATTTTAATATCTCAGAAAAAAGCATTAGATCACTCACTTTTTACATGAGTGTTTTAGGCAGATAATTATCCAAAAACATGGAAAGATACAAAAATAAGGGTTTTCTAGATGAAAAGCAAGCAGGTTAACAGCCTTGACTCTTCCTGTACTTCAAACTGAGCCTTTCTTTATACCATCTGATTATTATATTACAGCTCATTTAGCAGACATGGCAGTTGGCAGACTAGTCATGTTAACCTGTGTTAGTTACCTTAATTAGCTGGGACATGGGAGTCCATCTGCCCTCTGGCAAATCAGGCTAACAAACAGTCACAAGACCTGCACAATGTCAATAGTGCTCACAGGGTCGTGTGTGTGTGTGTGTGTGTGTGTGTGTGTGTGTGTGTGTGTGTGTGTGTGTGTGTGTGTGTGTGTGTGTGTGTGTGTGTGTGTGTGTGTGTGTGTGTGTGTGTGTGTGTCCCAGAATAGAGGCAGAACAGTAAAACCTGTGTGTGTGAACTTACTCTGATCGGCATAGTTTTTAGTTTTGCGCTCCAGCTGACGGGAGTGTGCCTCCAGCATCACCAGTCGACTCTGCAGATCTTTCTTCTCGCCGTCCTGGGAGTCTTCTAAGACGATGTACCTCTGCAGATAAACAAAGAACATACAGGGAAAGAACAAAAAAGGAATTATTATCAAAGCCCTGACATTTTAATGAGTACTGTGAACTCCTGGTTAAGTAATGATCAGATGATTGGTTTCTGGCAGTGACAGGAATATCACACATGCATGCCTTTTAATCATCACCGTCTATTACATTAGACACTTTCAGTATGCAGGAAATAGAGTTGGGGCTCCTCATTAAAGCTTCTGAAGCTCAAAGAGAGAAACTGGGTTTAAAACTTGAAAAACTCATTTCAAACCATGTAACCAAGTTTAGAGCCTAGGGGTTGGTTGAAAGACTATTAACGAGGACCAGAAAGAGCACAATTTCACACCCATTTTTCACCTTTATTTTTTAAGCTTTTAATGGTCTTGTTCCTAGCTATTTATCAGATTTGCTTTCAACCCATGAACTCTGTATATCCCTCGGGTCTTCTGCCATTTGCTTTTTATCATGCTTAATGTAAAACAAATGCCCATGGTAATGTGTCTTTTTATAATTACGGCCCACAATTGTAGAACCGCTTCCTAGGACACCTCAAGTTCAATACAAAATAAGATTGATTAATTGATTTTAAATCTTGTGTGTGTGTTTGATTCAGACCTTCTCATGCTCACAGTGTTGACACCAGTGGAACATTGGGAACAACCGTATCTGTCTTCTTTCCATTGTGAATGTCATCTACCCTCTCAGAGCAACAGGTGCACAGCGCCGGCTTCTCAAACAAGAAATCTAACAGCCTTTGTGTGTGTTTTTGTGTGTGTACAGACACAGTTTACTGGGCGAGTTAGTAACAGTTGATTTCATTGTCAAGGTTGTTTTTTCAATCTTCACAGCAGCTGTTAGTAACCTCAGTCCTTCTCCGAGGGGATCAGGGACTATGACTGTTTTTATTTCATGAGAAAGTGGATCACAGAGATCATTGGGTGCATAAACACCAACATGCAAGATAAATCATCAGGAACATAACGTTTCTATACGTATTACTTCGATCCAGCTGGATGAAGCTTTGATGAGCCGACAAGATTTTAGAAAAACTAGAACAAAGTTAATGCAGATAACCCGAAAACAGGTTCCCTCCAGAAGGAGTTCCTCTCCCACACACCTGCCTGAAACTCCTCCATTGGACTTCTTTGTTTACTTGTGTAACAAAGTGACATCACTATGCAACACTCGCGCTCCCAAAAATGGTATGTGATAAAAGGGGTGGGAAATCTCTAAGCGTTAACCAATCGGAGCAGACTGGGCTCTGTTTTCAGACAGAGGGTGAGAAGAGGTGCTGCAGCACAGGCAGTATGAGAACAATAAAGAGCTGTTTGAACATTAAAGCATGGAGACATGTCACAAATATAAAAACCTGAAAACGAGCAGAATATTTCCTCTTTAACATTGAAATGAAATATGAATTGATGACATTGTATTGTACGCCGACCCAGAAGTTATCATTGCCCTTGTGCTCTTAAGGAAAAGCTAATCTGATTTTGTTTTATTGTATTGTAATTATTGCAATAAAACAAGCTCTTTTGGAAGAAAAAAAACGTGAATTATGCTGTCAAGTTCTCTTCAACGAGATAATAATTTAAAATGAACACCAGTTTTGTGATTTTTAAAGTTTAAATGCATTTGCCAGAATTAAAAAGCTTCCGTTAGGTTAGCTTTTTAACGACATGATCGCATTATTTCACATTGCCACTACTTATTAGTCAATGTATTGAACCTGTTAGAAACAAAACAAACAATAATAATTATTATTATTATTATAACAAAGAGAAGCAAAAAAAAAAAAAAAACGTTCAAGGTATAAACAAATAAATTTAATTCTCAAATAGTTTCTGTCGTGTTCAAAAGGGGCAAGAAGAAGCTTAAACATTGTTCTGGTCCGACCCCCTCTAGAGTACATTGTTCATGAAAATAAAAGATGAGGTCATCAGCATCCTTGATATTGGATTTATTGTTTTAAACAAATCATTGTTTGTACAAAAGAACCAAAAATAAATAACTTTTACAACAACAAGAAATTCACATGTCCTGCTCAGAACCATTCAGGATTTGGTTTCTAAATAAGAGTTTTAGTTTAGATAAAGTTGCACAGTATTTCAGCTCATCATTACAGTTATTCCACAGGTCAACCCCTTTTGTTGTGACTACTAAAGGTGGAATGTCTCATTTTAGTCTCATATATCCATTGACTTTTTCAAAGCCATAAAAGCTTTAAACTTCATGAGTGGGGCAGATTCTGTAGAATAAACATCTCTTAAGCTTATGTTAACAACAGACGCTACTTCAGGGATCTAACCAAACGCTTGAACAAAATGTCATTGACTTGAGACGAGAGAACCAGAAGTTAACATTTCTAACCAATTATCGGGTTTATGACTCGTTCCTGAAGCACTTTATAACCAACAAATCTAAGAATAACAATGATTCCCTTGTTGTTGCTTTTTTAGAAGGTTGGTTTGGTTCCTTCTATTGATGCCTCAGCTGATTGCTGAGTCAGGTGTTTGGTGACAGAAAAAGACTGTCCATCTGTAAACATGCAGTCTTGTGATGTGGGTGCTGGCTGTGGATGAGGGGCCCTGTGGTCGGGCCCTCGGCGGGAAGGATGGATATCATCTGAGGATCACCTGAGCTCCCCATTACAAACCGCCTCTTCTTTACACGCACAGCACGTTGAGAGTGGAGGTGCAAAACAAAGGTGTTTCTTCAAGATGCTTTTGTGAACTCTCTGAACCTCTAGCCTTTTTCTTTTTATTAATACAAAAAAACACAATTCAGTCATTGATGGGCTAAGGTGTTTTTCTCTGCCGTTTGCTTCTCAAAACTCAGCGTTTGGTTCTCAAAGCTCTTTCAGTGTAGAGAACTTTTTTTGAAATTAATTACCTGGAGTAATACTACTTATTCTATTAGTAGTGACATTTTTTCTCTCTTCCACAAGGGGTGAGGATGTAATGTGGGGCTTGAGGGAAAGAGACAGGGCCCAGTTGGGTCTGGGAGGCGTGTGGTGCAGTGGGTTGAGCGTTGGTGTTGGGATCAGGGGAGCACAGGTTCAAACCTCACTGCAGTCAGCATGTCGTTGTGTCCCTGAGACACTTCACCCCAAATTGCTCCTGTGGGGATTGCCCACAGTATTGAGTATGTAAGTCGCTTTGGATAAAAGCGTCTAACAAGTAACATGTAATGTAAAGTCTGGAACACCAAGGGAATATCTTAAATTCTGAAGTATGTGTAGTAATCTACTAAGAGCATTAACATAGCACTGGGCTAGACTACAGCCGGTAGGTTTCATAGTGGGGTGTGCCCCTTAATCTGGGATTGCGTGTAACAACACGAAGGGTAGCTAAACGGTTACAAGCCTTAGTTTCTGATCATTATAAACTGCTGAGTTTGAGGAAAACAGGTTTCTCCTCATTGGATTTACACAAACTATCACTGTTGAGAGTAGCCTACTGTGTGGATGACACATGCAGACAATACACTTCTATTGTATCAATAATTTTGAACTCCCAACATCTTCCTCTCTTAAACTGCTGCTCATCATATGACCCAGAAAGAAGGCTTGTGCATATGACAGCGCTCCAGAGAATGAGTGTTCCAGTGCTTTAACGTGCACTCTTCCCCCTACGCTGCTTGTATAATGCTCTCTTTGTCGCCGAGTGCCAACAACACACACACACACACACAACACATGTGGCTCCGGCACAAGTGCGTGCACACCCACACAGACAGGGCTCCACTGTATTGGCACTCAATTACCATTGAGTGGAATTAACTCCTTTCAGTGTTTGTGGCTGTGTGTTGTCTTGGCCGTCAGATGAAATTAACTGAAGCACTAATTAACTGTTTCAAATAGGATCATTACATTATAATCACACAGTTAATAATATTGAGGTAACAAAACATGCAGCCCTTTGTGGTAAGAAAAAAAGGCTTTAAATGAAAGCTTGAGGCAATCAAGTGACTTAGAATATGTGCATAGCCATAGGCTGGGCATATTCTCCAGACACACGCAGCTGCTGATAGACCTACTGACGGATGCAGTTGAATTAGAAAAAAAAGGTTTCTACAGACATGCCGGCAGCTTTGTGTGACTTAGGCACAGTGTTGCTATATGCTAAATGCTAACATAACAACATGCACATAATGAATGCAGTTGGCATACACTGTTTGTAGTTATACCTACGAAAAGTCATACGTAAATACCCCATGTAATCAATTGGTATGGAACCCATGTAATTGTTAGCCATGAGATTATACATAGTAGAAAGAGCCGCAAAGTCCATGTAGGAAGGAGGCTGTGGTGGATAGCTGGGTCCAGAAGAAATGCTGATCTATTTGTTACGCGTGTTCGATACTTCAAGTAGCTACAGTAAGGCGATATTTTCTAAACCGTAACAAGTGGTTTTGTTACGTAACAAAGTACTTATTACAAGGACTCGAAAGGCAACTCATCACTCAATCAAAAACTAGATTTCCTACAAATCGTTGTATGAGGATACATTGCAAAAGGACGATGCTAAAATGTTGATGCTAAAATAAGGTCCATCTTTGTTACATTTGCTTATTAGCGCTGGATATAACTCAAGGACGAATCAGGGAAGTCAGTAAGATGCATCCTCTTGTAACCATGAATACCTATTCAAATTTGCATTGCAATCTAACCAGTTGTTTTTCTTTATTTGAGTATTAACCCTGTTTGCCATGTTTTGTGGGTCTGAAAGTTTTGCCACGTCATCACCATTCAAATGTTCACAACGTTTTTTACATGAGCACAACGTTTTTCATAGATCTACGCTCCTAATTTTGCTCTCACAGTGCACCAGATTGATGCATACAAAATGTACAAAGTTATCTTTTTAAATGCATGATTTGTGAAGTCAAAGAGTAATCATTTTTATCTTATAACCGAAGTCAGTAAGATTTATCCTCTAGGAAACAACGAATGGCTGTAAACATTTGCATTGGAATCTAATCAGTAGTTCGTGAGATATTTCATTATGGACCAAACTGATGCACTGAGAGCCATCAGATTTTTGCTAAAACGTTTCCGCCCTCCTAATCCTTGTTCTGCATATTAATAGCTATATGTAAATGATAACGATCAGTCTTCTGACATCGTATGCGAGTAATATGTGGTTTTACACAGGTCAGCAGACAACCCTGAGTGGACAAAAGAACTGAGGGAAGGGCTGTTTTTCCCCAAGAATTTCCTGCCTTGCCTTTTCCTCTGCTCTGCCGAGACAAGCTACTAAGAGGGAGTATTCCTCTGGGCTTGGTGCAGCAAAAAGCCAAACTTGGCTGGTACAATGTGTTTGTTTGGCGGGATTAATGAGCGTCTTGTCACCCAAATGAGCAGTTTAGGAACCGAGTCTGTGCCCAGCTATTCACGTGCCTCCATTGAGTAGGTAGTGGCTTTGGTGTTGGAGGACATTTAGCATATAAACAGTGTGAGTTTCATGAATTTATACTATTGTGTCACAGTTTACCCGCGTAAAATGCAATTTAGTCACAGTTATTTGTAACTGACGGATTATAGATGAGGGGGATGTGTGTCTGTTTAACTTTTCAACCAACGGCTGTTTACACAAACTCAATAAAAGAACCTGAATATGAACTGCGCAAAGTATGGAAAGCTTAGAAAGATGCTGGTGCATTGGTTTCATTTTGCCCAGATACAAACGGTGAGAACTGTAACTTCTTTGGAATGATGCACTCTTGAGATTGACTGAATACGACAGCAAAGCATATTTATTTGATTTACATTGTTATTTTTTCACTAACTTCTATCATAAATAAAAATGTAGCCTACATATATTGCTGAACATTTCACCACATAGCTGTAAAACGAAAAAGTTATTTATCATTCGTCTCTCATTTTACATATACAAGCTTTGCGATTGTTTGCAATTTACTTGTAAAATTTTCTTTGGAAAAGTTTTACTCCAATGAAATAGCTATGTAAAGCATTATTAAAACAAAAGCAAACATTCCCCTTATCCTGAGCATCAAACGCCTGGTCATATCTTCTAACATTGTTTATTTATTTTTTAACCAGATATTTTCCTTATCTTCATTTGTAAATTTGGGTAACAGTCATATTTACCATGCTTTGTGGGTGTGGCTGTTTTATCATAACAAAATGATCTCAAGATTGACAGATAATGACAGTGACTATGATTCCTGCCATAACCGAGCAGTCCTGATCAGTAGCAACACACATTAATGCCACATCCTGAAATGTAATTGTTCATTCAAGTTCCTATATGAATTTTTCAGGAGCTGATCTCTGCTTTAGAGAGGGTGTACAGTTGCAACCTATGACATCATGCCAGCATAAGAATACCACAGAACACACCCATGAGGGTGCAGGTGGCCTGGCAGAGAAAGAGCTAGTTGTGTAGGAGACGAGGTATACAGTCTATGGGTATTTCACACACAGCAGGGAGAGGAAGCAAGAGCAATGTAAGCCCCATAACATACCAATGGAAAATCTCATGTGCACCGGTCCATCTGAAAGCTTTAGCAACATGCTACGACATGACATCAATTATTCACACACACACCGCTCTGTGACCTGTTGCGCTTGTCATTCAACATTTAGCTGTTGAGTCAAATGCCAACGACTCGGGAAACATTAAGGAGTGGCAACAACATGTGCACACTTAAAGTGGCGCATTTGCATCCTATTTGTCTTGCAACCAATCTCATCATCACCTGTATCATCCTAAATCACACTGACCGGAGGCAGCCTGTAACTTGGACCTTTAGTTGAGAAAATAACTCATCATAAACGGTACCCAGTACAGGAGCAAAGCTAAGAGTTATGTGTGGCTGTCATACCAAGGACTTAACACAAGTTTAAAGTCTGGGCAGTCAACATTTAACTCTAGATGCCCACTGTGGAACAATAGCTGTTTTTATACACGTTCATACAGTGCAGTGAAGGTCAGTAGGGGCTAGCAGCAGCTCAGTATACAACCACTTTGCTTTGACACCTCTCCATCAACGCATACTTTGTGCATGTGTGTATTTCAGGCCTAGTGTGTTTCCGTTCTACTTGTGCATGTATGTATGTATTGAGTGAGAAATTAATCTTCCCTGAACTTCCCTCAGGGATTTATTAAGCATGCCTTCTTCTTCCAGTAGAACTAAAAACACCATTGACTTATAATGAAAACACACACATCTTAAAATCAGACCCAGTGTGCTAGTGTCGACCTATGTGAATGTGTCATTGTCCAAAATTAGACTGCACTGTAGAGGTGAAGTATTGTAGAGCGTGGCAATAGCTTGAAATAAATGTGCGTTCATTGCAACCATCCTGCAAGCATATCACTAACTGGTTTGCATATCTGAGGCTTGACTTGAATAAATGTGGATGCTTTCAATCTGGCGCGCATTGACTGCAATCCCAAGTGTGACACGGTATCCTCATAGGGTGTCCATAGGGGCATGGACGTGCAGCTAAAGTACAGTGTGTGCTTCACATGTCATGTTTGCGCTCCAATTGTAAGATCTGGATCACATACATGGCGGTCTTTATAACGTCTTATGACACTGAATGGACTCGCCGTTCAGGAAATGCATTTACACCATCAAGCTGTAATTATTTAGAAAAGTTTGACGTTTTTATTCCCTCAATTTTCCTACATTAAATGCCCCAGTTAGTTTCAGCAACCACTTGAGGAAGTGTAGTTCTCCTATGAGAAATGAAGTGTGTGGGTATGTCAAACAAAACATTTGCGTTTATATTTCATAGAGTAGCTACTTATTTGTGATTAATGGGATATATATAGTTGATAAGCACCGCGACAGAGAATTGTCAGATTTATAAATTGGGTTTGTAATCGTTTTGTACCATAACACGAGCCTTTAATCTGTAATCCGGGTTATAAAGTAGTTGGGCAGTGTTTTAGTGAAACCCACCTCCTCTGTGTGTTTTCTCAGCGCCTTCTCTCGCTCGTACTGGGTGACAAGCTGCTCGTTGTCCTCCTTCAGCAGCTCCAGCTCCACTTCTTGCTCCTGGTTGACAGCGAACACCGAGTCCAAGTTCTCCAGCACGGCGACCACCAGCGGCATCAGCTCCTTCACTACGTCCTCCCCGTATCTCTCGATAAGCCGTTCAAACTCTCGGTATATTGAACTGGCCAGACCTGAGACCCGCTCGGACATCATGGTGGAGTTTCCCGAGTCATCCTGATACAGGACTACGTCGTCCAGCTCCATTTTCTTGCCTCCACTTCTTTCCCAGCTAAAGTTAATGAGCTAGCCGCAAGTTTCAGCTGGCCAGAGGCTGCCTGTCTGCCTTGCTACTTTAGCGCAACAAAACGGTGTTTCTAAAACATAGTTTGAGTGTTGTGTACTGTACAGAAGAGACACTGTACTTTATAAACAAAGTCTGTACTCCTCCTTATTCGACTGGACGACTGACTCTGATAGCTTGCTAGCCTGGGAGCTAGCAGCACTGAAAAGTCTTCACTTGGCTCCTGATTAGTTTCCCTGTCCAACAGATGAGCTCCTGATGCTGCCTTCAAGTGCTGTCGGAAAAATTGAGATGGACGAATATCTGGCGACATATGAAATTAATAAATATGCCCACTGCAAATACAATGCCGGATTCAAATTTGTCTCAGTTTTGACCAGATAAACACTAATCTGGATATCCAATTTGGCAAAACGCCAAAACCAAAAGTGCACCAAAAACAGCAAAAGCACTCCAATGTTGTAAAAGTGTTGAACAACTACAATAATACAATGTAATAAATAAGTGGCAAGACATACATGTACACTATCAGATCATACATTGTTGTTGAAGCTAAAATAATACTTTCATGTGTCCTGTTATATAGTTGCTATTGTGTGACGTCTAAGGGGTGGAGAACAAACCTTATCGACCAACCCTGATTATAAAATCTAAACGGCTTATTTTTTACTATATGTTTATTTACTGAGGTAAGGACAACGTCAGGTGACGTTTTCTTAATAATGTAATGTTTCCCTTTTGTCAGATTTATTTCAAACACAAATTAATTTCCCTGGTTGACTGGACATTCCCCTTTTATTTTAAAGTTGCAGGGCTTACAGAGGAGCCTAGTTATGTAGCTATGCCATTTTTTTTTCTTACATACATTTAAATACAAAAGTAGAAATATGTTGTTGAGCTAACTTTGATATTTTACATTCGGTCAGCACTGCAATTGACCGTGTCCCAGTTCAGAAATGGGAATTTCCGAGCATCACTTGAAGAGGTCATGAGTTGTTGACGGGACGTCGCCTTACGTCACATGCTAAAGAGAGCTGATGAAGGATAGTCAAAACTGAAGCTAATTGTTAGTGTTATTCATTGGAGACATTTCAGAATTAATTACACCCACTCTCATTGACTCATATGGCTGACTTTTTTTCAGTTCAATAACAGTTGCCAGTGCTGAGAATAGTACATGATTGTATTTCACCTTTTATAGTGTACAACAAATTAAAGGATGCAGAGTGTGCTTTACAAGTGTTTTAATTTATAACAAGAATTCCAATTCAATTTACTGTGAATATGAAATTGTTATGCAAGCATCAGTTGATTCAACTTTATTATATATCACCTGAAAAAAATATGAAGTATTCACAGCAAGTAAACAGGTTCTCAAGTAATGTACAATCGCTCTACCTGTTGCATTAAATATTTTCTGCCATACATCATGCACTATTGAAACTGCATTATAGTGAACGCAGAACAGAACTTATTGTAAACACTCACCTCTGTCTTTTTTTTTGTAAAGCAATTCTGTTGACTTATCTTTCTGTGATGCATAGGCACTGATCACCCTGATGTTTCGAGACATTAAACACAACACATACCAAGCACAGTTACTATACAATGAGGAGGTAATGCTCTAGTCCAGGGTAGAAGTTACCCTTGTATCCTCACATCCTGGATCAAAGCTCTCCAAAGATCAGGAAGACAGCATGTGACACTTACAGTGGCCATGGGGGTCTGTGTCTACCATTAACAAAAACATCAAAATGTAGAACAGACATTAAATTAAAACTGCAGCACTGGCAAATATGGTACACAACGCACATTCAAAGATCATGGCATAAAGTAGCTCACACAGTAACTCAGGGATTTGAAATAAAACAAATTGAAATAAATAATTAAAAGTGCAATTTAACAAGGTACTCATTCATGATGCTCACAGCAGGTACATTTCGATGGTTTAAGTATTCCGTCACCATTACAATCCATTTTTCAAATGTATTTTAGAGAAAAGGGGCTTTAGGATTAAACCTGAAGACAAGATTCAACTGAATAGCAAGAAAGTATTTGAAGCATGGAGGAAAACGTAAAAAACTGAAGTGTGCTTAAAGTACTGTAAAGTCTGGGAGCTCAGTCTCTTTCACACGTTTCAGACAGTGTTGTGATTGGTGTTGTTTGAAGACGACGGGCAGAGGGAGAAGGGCCGGTCCCTGGTCAGACTGGTGAGTGCTCGGAGCATGGCGTCGGGCATGTGATCTGCCAGCATCCTGGGACTGATCAAAACACTCCTGAATGACATTTCATTGGACCAGTCTGCGCGGTACCGGACCTGGGAAAAACAGGATCTGAGGGAAAAGAGAAAAACAAGAATTTTAGAGGCAAATCCATCCCACAATTTGCATTGCAAAGAGTCTTGGCAACGTTCCACCCAACACTGATACAAATCTGGTGGTGAGGTAGTGCAATATGTTGATATAGAGTGGTTGTATTTTCCATTTGAGCGCCAGCAAAGTTGCTGAAATACATAAACAATTCATTAGCGTCAACCAGCGTTTCCGCCAGGGGGGCGTCTTGCCGTCATTTGACGCCCTTATTCAGCTCGGGACGCCCTGAACTCGAGCCGAGGGCGTCCAAAAATATTAATAATTTGAGAGAAGATCGAGAGTTTTTATCGCTTGAAATGACGAAAAGGAAAAAGGACATCCCTCTGTTGGGATTATTTTCGGAGTATTGAAGATCGTTTCCCCGACATCGGCGGTGCCTGCCACAGGACAACATGGAACGTG